AAGTCAGTAATGTAGTAGTGTGGGGCAAGGTGATGGAGGCCTGAACTAGAGTAGGGACAGAACAGAGTGGAGCGGGGAAGCCTGAGAACAGTTGACAGTGGCATGCCTCGGTGGGTGAAATACCGTACCCTGAGCACCAAAGCCACTCTCTGCAGAGCGTTTGAGCTTTCCTTGCCTAACATTATCTGCGACTCATCAGTCTGAATATCGGTTTTTACTGTGCGGTATTATTAACTGGTGATGCTGTAGAATTAAAGGTGTTTTGAATCTTGGGATATAAACTAAAATTTATTAGGGAAATTAAATTCTTTCAGCCAGCTTTTCTTTCTTTACTTGTCCTTTTGTCTCTCTTGCTTTAAAAATGGAGTTTACAGTGTGAGGAGAAAAGAATTCTTTGAATTAGAGGATCTCAGAGTCACACCTGCATATAGCAGATTGTAAAGTAACGAGGCTGATTTCCACACACCGCTAGGAAACTTAGTGTCCTTAAGCTCCTTCACAAATAGCCATGAAGAAATGTAGAGATTGTAAGTGTCCGTTTCCTCATTTAACAGGTTAGAAATCTAAGATTTTAGCAGTTAATGTTAGATAGTCGTAATAAAGCACTGAGGTTGGCAAGTTCCTGTTGTGCATTTGAAGAAAACTTTTTGAAACGATGGATTTATGAGAAATGAGAGGATTCTAGAAAATTTGTGATCAGAGTTAATAAAAAGGAAGAACCTGAAGAGGTAGCCTTGAAGAAAGTATTTATATATTTTAAAATAACTACCTAGTTTTGATAGTACTATGGTGTTTACGAATAATTTGAAAATATCACAGTGAATACTTGGAAAATAACAGTGAAGTTCTTTGGTCCTTAAACTTCCTGTATTTTATATTTCGTGAATAAATTACGTTCATTTCCACTAAAGGCCAGTATGTGCTGAGGCACAGACGTATGTTTGGAAAAAGCCTTTCAACATTTCCAACACCTGTTGCTTTTAAACATATGGACAACTGATGTCTGAAAGGGCTACGTGGAGAAATCGTGTTTCAGGTTTCTGTTAAGCAGGATTCTCTTATCATTTCCTTTGCAGAAAGTGGATTAACATACGTGAGAAGTGAGAGTCCTGGTGCCTTAAAGGATTTAAGTAAACATTGGGGTCTTACTTAAGTGTGAAATAATACACCGGCAGGAGAGATTTGGTTAATGAGTAAACATGGACGGGTGTTCACTATTGTGCTTATAAAGTGTCTGTTTTACTTTATCAAAACTAGCCCCCTTTTCCTGCCTTCTTATGCCCTCGCTTTAATTTATTGCTTAGTAAATATTAACTGGGGCCTAAAATTTTAACTACGAACTAAATGAAGTGATTTTCCAGGTATGGAAATTGAAAACACAGGAGTTAGATGGCCAGGGTTCAGTGGCACCTATTACTTTCTTGGATTATTGGGCAAGTTTGGCCTTTTTTCTTTTTTTTTTTTTTGCTTCTCTGACTGCCACGTTACATTTTGCCTCGAAGCCATCCATTCTGCAGATATTGAATTTCTTTTGAGTACTATTTTTATACAATAAGCATCACTACACCTCTGGATCTTGATAGCATTACTGTGAGAGGAGAAAGCAGCTTTGTGTTAGTAATTACCTAACATTGTCAGAAGCTGACTGCAGGCCTCTTTCTAGTGATAACAGAATAACCGCATAATGTAGCTTTATAGCACATGATTAATAGAAAATAATTACATGTCCTACAAAGGGATGCAATATTTCTTATAAATTGACTAGAATGGTTTCCTGTAGATTAAAGGACTCTTCATTATTTTATCAGTCCTCCTGAAGTACAGTCACTTGCCTATGTTAGCATTTCAGTTGATGTTAAGAGCCGAGTAGGGTGAAGGATACCAGATGGCAGACCTTCTTGTACCTGAGATCTTGTGTGCCATAAAGATGACATGATGCTTCCTAACCTTTCAAAGATTTAGATGGCAGCCTAGTATGGCTCGTCTCTTTATTTTTCATTTATCAACAGGATAAGATTTGATAGTTTGTGTCATTTTGTTCTAAATGATCCACCTGTGACTTTATAGCAAATGCCGTAGCGAGTATGCAGACTTTAAAACCACACTGTACCGAGGGCATCATTTTCCTTTCTATGTAACAGAACATGCACGATCACGTTTGTTCGGCAGGTAGCAAGGAGGAAAGGAAAACACAGGCAGATTTTCTTCTCCAAGAGGAAACCGTGCACAATACTGCATCTTCAGGCCAAAGTTTAGAATTCTGTACTCCAAGAAGCATTTTCATTGCAATTTATAGGCTGCAAATGGTTTAATTGGGATTCATGTTGCTCAGGAGGCTCATACAGGGGATGGTAATGATAAGAGTAAAAGCTCCAGTGTTTGCAGTCTGGTCGACATACTCTAATGGCTGCAGTGTAAATCTGGAAATTTGCTTCCTGTATTTTTACCTCAGTATATTTTATCTTATCTCCTAATTCCACACAAGAGTATTCTGTGCGATTCTTTATGAATGTAAAGTAACAAATATTCTGGTCTTTAGTTGTATCGTTTTCCGATTTAAATCTGTGATATCTTAGAGTACGTCTATGAAGTATTTCATGTTTTTCAATTACTTTAAATTAAATGAAGCATTTAAGATGATTTTAGTTTGAAACTTTTTTTCTCCCTAGAATGTTCCTGTTAAGGGATTTGTTTACAGTTGCGCAAGCTCCTCCCTCCCTGCTGTTTACTTCTGGGCTCTACGTAATGAATCTCACTGGTCTACCACCGTACAGAAGTCTCTCAGTTGTGATTTGTTGGAAATCAATTTCTTAAATTTGGGTTGAGTAAAGCTTACAGGAAGCAAATTTACGGATTTACACTGCAGCCGTTAGAGTATGTCGACAAGACTGCATGTGAGATCACATGACCTTAATTGGCAGTGCAGACTGTAACCAAAGCAGAATATTATAGAACAATATAAACTTTCTGTCTTGTAATTTGAATCTAAACACTGGCACTCAGATTGAAGGCCATTCTCTGGAAGCAGATTTAGGTCAGCTTGGCCTCTGGCTAGATGTTTTTTCTGTCTGTCAAGAGGTAGGAGGACGGGGAGGACTAGTTCCTCGGCTCCTTCCAAATAATCTACTTAAAAAATCTTAGATTGACATTGGGTAAGAGCTTTAACACTCAGACTTACCCCATTAACTATCCATTTTGAAATCTTATAATAGGCTGTGGAAGGTTAAGTACATCTGTTTTGTTAAGCCTTAGGGTCTAATTGTATTCATTGTCTTAAAAATTGAAAAGGGCAATTTTATTAGATACCTATTAGGATATGATGGCAGCTAATCATGGCTTTCAGTAAGTTGGTATTTTCTTCTAATAAATATGCCCTACGTGGATTAGAGTCCTCATCACTGGGTTCTGGGCATGGGAGTATTCTTGTCCTTTAGACAGTTTTGTCCACTAAATTTCACACTGTCGGTGTACTTTTAAAGTTAAAATTTTGAGTCTACTGCTTCATGAGCCAGAGCTGTGCCCTCACTATAAGGAGAAGTCCAGGATTCTTTTATTCTTCCCCCTTCTCTCCACTTTTTTCTTCCAATAAATCTAATTCTGATGCTGCCCACTGTTTCAAAAAGCACCTCTAGATTTTGTCCTATAATCTATTAATATACTACATATCAATGCATACATGCTAACGTTGCTACATTTGTATTGAAGAATTTTCCCTTGTGGTGGTCAGTAACATACTAATCAATACAAATGTTAAGTCTGTGCTAGGATTAACCTTCCTGCCCCACATATAACTCAATATGCATATGCGCATTTATCTGTGACTCATGTTGGAAAATCATAACCTATTGAATTACTTTGGGGATTGATTTTAAAAATTTATCTTCTATGAAAAATTAAATTTGAGTCCTACAAAGCTTGTGCAGAGTATTGCTTTTGGAAGATATTATTCTTGAAACTTGTAATTCATTTTACTTTGTTTGTATCTCACTAAACATAAATAAATTTGAGATAAAAATACATTAGTCAACCTGGCAGACATATGAGACTGGTTCCGGAGCATTCACAATGCCTAAAGCAGTGGTGCATCTGTCAAAGGAGAAAAAGTGGGAGAAAAGGAGCCATAGGTTTGTTTATCACACGTTGCAGAATAAATGCAGAAGTCACTCATCAATCACTCTTTCTTGCAGCTAGATTAATATTTTGCCTTTATAACTTGAAATACTTTTATTCTTATTGATCCGTCACTATGAGGGTGAATCTAACACCACCTTTAAATTCCTTCTACCTGTCTTCTACCTAAGGGAGTTTATGATTAAATAAAAGGGACAATAAATACCCCAGGGAAGCTACATCAAAGGGACCTGTTTGTGAATTATTTTGTAAAATGAATTTTTTTTTTGGTATTGTTAGCGTTTCCTTATTCTCCGATTTTTCTATTAAAGTGTGTGTATTAGACATTTCTTAAAAAGGAGCAGCCCTCTGTATTCTAGATCAGTTTAGGGCCTGTCGGTTTAATTCAGTAGTTTATTGTGAAAAAAATAATTTCATCTTTGCTAGATGATAAGCTTCTTGAAGGTAAATATAGTCTCTTAAGGATCACAGCTTTAACCTTACAGCCTCTTGCACAGAAACGGTGTTCCCAGGCTTTGTGGAGAGAGAGGGAAGGAGAGAGAGGGAAGAACAGATGGAGATGGGCTGGGGTGGGGAAGCCGTCCCGGAGCCGGCTTCCTGAGATAGTTTATTTTCTGAGTTCTTATTATTTGTGATTGTTTCTATGTTCTAAGCCTAGTAATAAGCAGGCTTTGTGTTATACCTTAATTTAAATCTTTGCCTAACAGCATTTTAAAGTGTCTAGAAACAAAAAAGATGAAAATGTTTCCCTTTACAACTCAAGCTCTTGTAACTTTCTAAAAAGAAATCACATTTCTAAGAAGTTGCATACAAATGACATTGTACTTACACCAGTCTAAAGGTTAATATTGCATATTGTTTTCAATTAGGAATACAATAGATATGGCTGGTGGGTAGGAGAAATGAAGGGAGCCATTGGCTTGGTGCCTAAAGCCTACATAATGGAGATGTATGATATTTGAGAGTCCTGGGTAAGTACATTTTAATCCAATATTCTGTAATAGCTCATATGTTCTTTTGGTCTGAGTCTTTGCCTTTTTTAAAGTCTTTATAGTTTTCTGATAACACAAGATTGTGCCTCCAGATCTTTTTTGCTTTATTTGATCTAGTTTAACTTTTAAAATAACTTCATGGAATTTACTTTGGAAATGAATAGCTTGGAGAAAGTTCCTTCAACAATAACCAGCTATTTTCCCCAACCAAGTCCTCTTTAGTAAAATACCACTTTTAAGGCCTTTCTGAAGAGTTAAATTGACAAAATGTTAAGCAAACATTTATTTTTCCTTGTCTAAAAGTGTAATTTTTTTCTAAGCAGAGAAAGTCAACGTCTCAACTGAAGAAAAAAATTCAAAATGCAACTTTCCCTTTCTGGCTGCAGAAAAGGAAGATTCTTCCGCTTGTCTGCAAATGCTTTGGAGTTAGCAGCATCATGAAAGCATGAGTGACAGCTCAGAACCTCCCTTTGTTTTGCCGAATATTGCTTGTCTTTGACTGTTATTTTATGCAGTTGTTCATTAAAATATTCTTTTGATGTGAAATTAAATGAAGGGCATTAGTGTCAATTAGATGGAAGCAGTGAGGTTATACCTGTTGCTATTTTCCAAATAGTTTTTATTTACCCATTTGATTTAGGTGAAGAATTCATCACTATTTTATACATGTCATAGAGTTGACTACATTATATAGTAGTTTACCACTGATACTTCTGCTGTGAGTTGTAATGTTTCTTAATCATTGGACAGCAATTATTTTTTAGGGTATGATATATAATTTTATATTACTTTAAATTGAGTATATCATACAAGTTTTTTGGTAGATGATCAAGAATGTGTCTATTTAAAGCTTTGTAGATGATTTATCTTAGTACTTATTTTTCACATAATAGTAACATTTTCACAAGAGAGGTTTTACAGATTGACAAATTTACTTTCTGTTAAAGATAGCAAAAAAAAACAAAAGAATGATAGAATTGCAAAAGCCCAGGTGCTGTCACCTGCAGTCCAAGTGTAAGCCCGAAGTGGGGTTTGTGCAAAGCACTTTACTAATAACAGTATCCTAGTTCCATGATGGCACAGCAATGTTTTCTACAGTGGTAGAGTGGACCAACAGGTGCATAGAATAGTGTTAGCCTGACATGTGAGTTATACTCTCTGCTGCCTGAGCAACACTCGCAGAATCAAGTATACTCTACTTCCAAAGGTATACTTTGGAAAGGAATAGCTTTCTCCAAGATAGCTCCAAGATACATTTTCCTAAGATAGCTATTCATTTCCAAAGTATATCTGAATATATTCCAAAATATATTTGAAAATATACATTTTCATGTATATTTGAAGTCAGAGTTATTTTAGATGCCTACAAGGTGTCAATGTGGCCTTAACAAATATAATGAAACGCAATTGCTGATTGAATAATTATTTGGAATAGACATAATCTCCTAATATTGAATCTTTACTGAGCAGGTACTATCTGTTGAACTTTTCAGATCTTTGCTTTATAAAGATCTTAACCTTCCAAGTGAGCTAGAAATATTTAAAGACCTCCATGATTTATGTAAAACTATTTGCAAGCCGTATTTCAGAGTGTCTATTTTACAGTTTTCCCTTCAAAACCACGATTATCCAGTTGCAAATGTAAAAAAAAAATCGTACTTTTAGGAATTGTAAGTAAACTTAGGTATATATAAACATCGTGCAGTTAGGTTTCAAAACTTACATTTGCGCAGTTGTTAACCTTTTCCTAAGATAGTGCCATTGAAATAGGGGGCTGGTTTTCAAATTCTGAGGTGTTGAAAAGCAAAAACAGTTGTTTTCAATGACAATGTAGCCTTGCTGTTGGATTTAGGTTTCCAGCTTCTGGTTTAAGAGAAATTTTTAGAGCTAGGCCAGTAGATGGCAGCAGCCTTTCATCGCATACAAAACCACTGGGAACTCCCCTCCCCCACTCAGGCAGAAACTTGCCGACAACATAAAAGCATTTGGAAGATTTCTGCCTCCTTTTACAGTTAATCCAGGAGAGGGAGTCCTTTGCCAACTGATGACCAACTGTTCCAAGCCGGCTATCTCTCTCTGAATGGTGACAATACAGAAAAAGGTATTACTTCTGTCCAGAGCTCCTCTGGCCTTTGTTCTTTTTTAACTTGAATATAGGTAGGACATAAGAAATGAAGCAAAAGACTTAAAATTGGAGTGACAGGAAAAATGAATCATTATTTTAGATTCATGACTACTTCATATTCATGTGATGAAATCATTTGTATACAACCAGGGAGAAAGTTTTCTTTACACCCTTGACAATATATCACATACTCTTCAAGATCATAATAATACCATTAATGTGAATTTAAACAACATGGCTTGTTAAAAAAAATGCTAATTGCGATGTTCTCATTATGTTTAGCTTAGCTTTTATTTGTTTTTCTATGAACAGTTAGAGAGCTAATTTTTTTCAAAGGTGATTGTAAGTCATATTTTATATAGCATTTTGCTTGATTATTTGCTCTGTACTGAATTTGTACTCTATTGCCATTAGATCTTACAATAATGTTCCACTCTGCAAATTTTTAAGGTTCAAATAAAGTTTAATTGTTTGCAAACTGTTATGATGCTAATAATTCAACAGCCTGCTGTGTTACTAATGAAATTACTTTGTTATGATTAATTTGGAAAATAGTGTGTTGATTGTAGTAATTAAGCACAACAAGGTGAAGTAAATGATTCTAATGCCATCTGGCCTCCAAACTGAATGAAGAAATGAAATAGGGCTGTCATCTGAATTTATTCAAAGAAGTAAGGATAATACAAATGACTTTCATCGCCATAGGATTTACACTTAACCACAGCTCACTCCATTCTGTTTTTGCCACTTGGCTGCATATGACACTTTCTGTTATGAAAAAGAAGTTGTTTAGTTCAACAATTTTATAATACTTTATTTTATGCTGATTATTTTTACTATGCGATAATTTAATTACAGATAATTACATAAAGTATTACAGAATCACAGAAAAACCACTTTCTAACACTACTACTTCAACCATCTGTAAGCGAAATTTATGTATGTGGGATTTGTGGGGGGAGAGCGAGAGGTTTGTTTTGCTGTCAGATACAAACACTTTGAATATAGCCTTTTATAAAGAGTAGAACTTCCATTCAATTGTTCCTAAAATGTGCGCGTTAAAGGTTCTCTCATAATTCTTACGAATTCTACTTTTCCTATAATTTCTCTACTCTCATCTCTTGCTACTCACTTCACAGACTCTGGCACCATCCAGGGTCATGATTAAAAACAGAAGTGAGTTACATGTTATAGATTGAGATCTGCAGTTCAGCCACTACAAGAAAACTGACCCTCATGTACATGGTGCTTAAAAGTTTGAACTTCATCAGTGAGACTGAGTGAAGTATTGTGAGAATTTTTAAATCAAGTAAAGTTCCTCTAAATTTCAGATGAATCAATTGCTTGTATTTCAATTTTTGAATGGAATTATAGAAACTATAAAACAGATTACTTTTACTTGAGTTCAAGAGATTCAGGAACATTGAAAAGCAATCCACAAGATAAAGAAGAAAGAGGTAGAGATTGGAGATTAAAACATGATCAAGCCATAGAAAACACAGCTTCACACAGAGGTTGAAAACGTGTAATTTATACATACATATATATATATATATGATAAAAAAAATAGTCAAATGTGGCCTAGTTTGTCAGTAAAATCCTGAGTACAGTATTCAGAATTACAGAGAAACAAATCAGTATATTGTTAAATTTTCTGTCTACAAATTTGATCTATACTCAAATGTGTAAAAGTTTATTCTCTGGATTAGGAACAAGGGATTTCTGGTCATCCTCGGCTTTAGCCAACTTACCATTCACCTCCTGCCTTACAGTTAAGTTCTTCCAGAGTATCTGTTAGAACCCTTAATAGTGTAACATTTTGTTATGATGAGATAAATACTTATAAAATTATATAATCACAGTAACATGAAATGACATGTCATTAGGGCTGTGTTTGAGGAAGTTTTTCTTGGTTTTGCTAGTAGACTCTGCTCTATCATGAGACACAAACATGATTCATTGCCAGCATGGTACAAAGTACATGGTGTATATCCAGTAAATATTTGTTAATTAACTATTTTGGCACCCTATGCTATCTCAGGACCTGAGATTTAAGAAGAAAAAATCTTGACTACTACGCCCGGTAGAGATAATGCTTTTATGCAGTAAATCTATTTCATAATATAATATCAACAAGTAAATGAGTTGATGTTATTGTTAGTAATAGATTGGCGTGATGCTGTGAATAATGACGTGTCTTTAGATGTTTCCTCCTTTTCTTTCCTTGTGTTCAGTATTGCGACTCTTTCAAGTAAGTCACTCCCTGGTGACTTAGAAACTTCGGACAAGTGATCTGGTTTCACTTTCTAGTGAAACATTCCGAATCCTTGTTGGCCTCTATTCCATTTGGCTAACTTCAGAGAAGCCTCCCTTTCTGCCTTCTGATTTTGGAACCCTTCTAGGTTCTGGGTGGATCCTGGGTAGATCAAAAAAGGAGTTTCTGAAAATGGGAAGCTTCACCCTTGTTGCCAAATCCAATTATATTTTGTCCTTTTAAAAAACTTTTACTCCACATTTCTTTAAAGTTGTATGATTAATACTAACTTGAGTGTGTTGAGTTCCCAAGATGAAAAGAACCATAAATACAGGGAGTAGCCTTAGTCGTACTCCTGCTCTGGTTAGGTCTGCGGTGTTGGTCAAAACACTGGTGAAATGTGCAAAAGTGTGAATATAGACACTGCTTCCAAAGCTCATCTTTTAAGTGCCTTTCTAAATGTTGGGACTTTGAAGGATGTTCTCTCCTCTTTGTGTTCCTGGTTTTCTTTTTTACTATCCAAATTACTTGGAGAGTTAAGATAGCACAGCATTTGTATGTTTTCTATTATTGGCCTCACCTATGTCGTACAGAAATATCATTCCTTCTACAGTACAAGCAGATGCCATTTTGGAGCTTGGACAGCAGTTCATGTTTCATTTGAGGACAGTGTCACACAGGTACTTTCGAGGGAAAAAATTAATGACACCAGTGTATGCCAGTTAAAAACAGCTGCTTAGAGGAAGAGAAAATTCCAACAAATAAGCAGATTTCTATACACTACTTTCCCTTCACAGCCCCCATGGGAGTTCTTTAGAAAGTCTCATGTTCTTCAACTACCATGTCAAATGTGATGATAATTAAGACTAGATAGTGTATGTTTACCAAGTGGTTACTATTTGTCATGCTGTGCATTTTTCATTCAATCCTTGTAACAACCCCAAAAGGTAAGTTCAATTACTTATTACCATTTTCCTGATTAGGAAACTGAGGAGAAGTAATTCTTCCCAAGGTCTTAAAATAGGAAGTTACCTAGCCAGGCCTCACACCTAGCCTCCTCCCCCTCAATTCTGGACTGGTCTGCTGTGCAATACTGTGATGAATTCAAACCAAATGTTTCCTTCTGTTCTTTGCAGGCATTCAACAAATGCTTGTTGGCCCCTGATGATGACACTATTCCTATAAAATAGTTTGGAGCATGTGAAAAGAATAGACCAGTAGTTGACAGTTGGATAGCTGAGTTCACAGGTGACCATATCAAATCCAAAGCAGCTAATCCATAATGGTGAATACAGTTAGATGTAGGAACTCTCCCATGAATGAACTTCCAGTCCAGATGAAAATAGGAAGTCAATCAAGGCAGGAGGACACCACGCAAAG